TTCCGAGTCATGATATACCTCCAATGGAAATGACTCGGTACTCGAAGAACTTGCCACAGGTTTACCCTTCCCTATCGATGCCATTGAATACAAACAATACAAAACGAAGAAGCGAATAAAAATTGAAGATAAACTTACCAAAAGATCAGCAAGCAAGTAGTGCACAAGAAATAGTTCTCAAATTCACAGAGAATATTCGACAACAAGATCACTATTTGCAAGAACTCAAGAATTAAAGCGAAAGTGAAGAAAAGTCGATCAGAAATTTTGGTGCCCTATTTATAAGCCCTAAATTCAGACCGTTAGCATTCCCAATCGACGGCACGTGTAATCGACGTGACTCTTCTTTCCCAAATGGTGCAACCAAGTGGCCGTTATTTTATTCAAGTAGCCGTTACTGAACTTAAAGCCATTACGGCGCAACTCTTCGCACTATGCATTTAATATGTTCGACCGTTACGTTTCTTCGAGTCATCTTAAGAACCGTCTGTGATTTGCCAAAATGTTACCAAGTGTATCCACCTCGGAAGCTAGCTTTCACTTCGGAACAGACGACCCACTCCGGTTACCTTAGGCACATCGGAATACCGAGGACAAAGAATGCCCAGCCTCCAATTTCCCACCGACTCAAGGCTTCTGTTTGGCTTGCAATACCGGTGACCATCACTCCGTATGCTCACCGATATTGGGGGCCTCTCTGTTATCATCCGACTCGGTAAAACAAAATTAAGGACCTTGAACATCTTAAGCGAATCTGACTCCAACACCGACGTGACCCAAAGTCATCCCAGTTCGCACAATAAACCGGTACAACCATAAAAGACCAAAGTAATCCCTACCCACCGAGGTCACTCCAAATCGAGATCAACGCGGACCGAGGTCGTTACCTCCTAAAGCAGGTGACAATGCGCCTACACGTCCCTCTCACGATCCACGAGATTTGTTATCATTTACGTAGGGCCCACTGACTCTGCCGCCCATGAAAAGTAGCTTTATCGGAAAAGCAGCGCACGGATCCCAATGTATATATCAAAAAAGTTACTATAAATAGCTAGCCGATGGTACTTATACGGGATTCGATTCCTGAAAAAACCGAACTCTTTCATAATGAAACACGAAACAGCTCTCAAAGGCTTTTCACCTCGGTTCACCTCGGACCGGGGCCATTGTTGAAGTTTTTATCCATGCTTTACGTTCGAATTGATCATTATCACTAAATAAACACAGACCTAAAATCGTTGTTAGGAATCGCATAACAACAGCGGTACTGCGGTAGGGGGAGGTGTTTGATCCTTACAGTTATTATTATTAACACTAGAGTAACAACAATCTTACAACAAAACCAAAGGACGGTTGTTTGACAAAATAGAGATTCACAAAATCCAAGATTAGACCCTCTTTGAAGCGCCAATTTTTTTAAGTTCGAAACAGCAAGAACGTAACATGTAGCGCAAAGGAAATGAACGAGGACAATGGTATAATATCTTTTATCGCACACGAACGAATGTGTTGGCCAATGTGCTTGTGTTTAATGACTTTTACTTTTTCTTGTCTCTTTTTTTTTTTTCGAAATGATAAGACAAATTTAAACTAAGTTGGGGTTTGAACGTGAGACCTACTAGTCGTATGATGACATTGTAACCACCACACCAATCCAAGTTTTGTTTTTGTATGTCTTCTTCACTGTTCGTTAATTGGACAATTTGTAGCAAGTAAAAAGGTGACTTTTTTCATACTAGGCGACGTCAAATCAGCACGAATGAAGCTCCATTTAGTCGATGTGTAGATCGGCACTTTGTCCAAGGGGTGAAAGCTCCAGTTTCATAAATGCACTAATTATGTACAAAATATGTGCATGCTTGGATACAAAAATTTCTGCTCAAAACGGTTTTTTCTGATTAAACATGTTTAATTGGAAAAAAATTATTATTAGTTGTTAGTGAGATTTTGAGTTTACATTAAAATAATATTTTAAAAAAAATAATTAATGTTTATTTGATGTAAAAGTTGGAGAGGGAGGATGTAATGTGATGATTAGTTAAAATTATGAGAGTGGATGAATATTGAATTAAAGTTGATGTAACGTGTAAGAATGATCAATTGATATTATTTAATTATGTATTAATATTATTCAAGATTGTAGGGCTAAATTAAAGTTGGGTTTAGAGTTTGGATATGAATTATATCGGTTGTATTTGGTAAAACTAACTGATAAGCTAGCTGATAATAATTGATAAGCTAGCGTATAGCTTATCAATGATTTTCGAATTTATACCTTATAACTTATGACTCATTGCTGAAAAGCTAACTTATATGATAAAAATGTTTGGTAAAATTAGCTGATGAGCTAGCTGAAAAAAAATTTAACGAGATTATTTGAAAAACTACCCTATAAAACTTATGAAATAAGCTTGAGCTTTTTAAAGACACGCGTCTTATCAAACGAAGTTTATTTAAATAAAAGAAACAGTAATGCTCACCTACCCACGATGAGCACATGTTAATATGTTCACCGCTTATGTGACATTCACTTATTGGTGATGTATTTTTTTGAACATATTAGCATCACCAATGTGTGCATGCCACATAAGCAGTGAACATATTAACATGCGTCCACCGTAGGTAGGGGAGCATTATCCATAAAAGAAATTTATAAGCTAATTAAATAAATTATAAAATCATTTATTTGTCTACCAAACCTAAATATATAAATTAAAAACTTTTCTAAACAAACGCTCATAGTTGTTGTATATACCAGTAGAGATAATGCTCCCCTACCCACGGTGGGCACATGTTAATATGTCCACCGCTTACGTGGCATGACATATTGATAATGTTAATTTGTTTTAAAAAATATATCACCAATGTATAGATGACACATAAGCCGTGAGTATATTAACATGTACACACCGTGGTGGGCACGAGAGCATTTCTCATACCAGTAGTACCTAATCCAATAGAGTTGTTAAAACTAAAAGTGATGCAAATTATGGGCAGAATTTTTACGCCTTCTCCGAGAAAAAAAATGCTACTTTTGGACTAGAGTGGAGGACTACGTTTACTTTGGGCAGAGAGTGTATCCTTTTTCAATTTTCAGACATTGACCAGCGTAGCGTATATGATGGACCATTCACGCTTAATGAGTGTGAATTGTTGTCGTTGTAAAAACAGGAAGAAACCTTGACATTATTTGTTCAAAAGTCCTAAAAGTCCATTATTTGTATGTCCCACTTTGAACTTTTTAATTTACATCATTTAAGCAATTTCTAACGGAACTTTCCTTTTCCCTAGACATGGCACGAGCCATCCCGGCCCGGCCCACCCGGCTTGAGGTCTCGGCCTGACCCGTAGATTGTTGGTTTCGAGAACTGTCACCATAATTTTACGGGTCGTGTTCGAATTCGATTTTTCTATTTTTATTCCTGGCGGGCCAGGACCGGGCCGATTTGTGGCCCGGCCTTGATTTTTGACGGGCTAGTTAAAGGTCACTCATGGGAGGCCCGCGGGCTTGATTGGACATCTCTACTTTTGTCACTTTGAATTTTTTAATTTACGGAGAATGTTACGGTCTCGTTACGAAACTATTTTGTCGGGGTTTATAATTGTTAGTCATTTAGAGCATCTGCATCGCTGTTTTTTTCTTTTTGTGTGTTTAAATGCCCCCTCTCTCCGTACAAGCGATGCGTGATGTTCATTTAGAGGGGAGCTCACTCTTGCGTTCAGCCGAATGAATGCGTTCAACTCTTTTTTTTTTTCCATATTTTTTTTATTGTTTTATTTGTTTTTTTATTTATTTCCTCTTTTTTCTTTTTATTTGTTTACTATTTATTTATTTATTTATTTACTAATATTTCTTTTTATTTTACATTTTATGTATTTTTTATCTATATCACTTTTCAATATTTTTTGTAATTTTATTATTTTTTCTTGTGTAATCTTAATTTAAGTTATTTTGATATTGTAGTGTTTTTTTTTTCATTCATTTAAAATTTAACATTATAATTGAAAATTATTAAAATATTTTTATTTAGAATAGAAGATAAAAAATTGTATTGAATGAGTGGATAATGGGTCCTACATATGTATTTAAATGAATGTGTAGGAATGTGGGTGTTTGTTTAAATGGAGAGAGATTTAATGGAAAGATGATGTGGAGATGATGTGGATGAGAGAGAGTGTTACTTTTTTATTGGATGAATAATTTGGTATTAAGGGATGTGAATGTCCTTATTAAACCGTCGATAATAGTTGATCTAACGATTATAAGCGACCGACCAATATTTTCCACAACAAGACCTCATCATCTCCCGATATTTACATTGTCGTATACAATAATCTGAGTTTATTGGCAGGTAAAAAAAAAGAGTTTAAATATAATATTATTTGATGGACAACCAATCATTACATTTTTTTTACTTTGGAATTTGCATTCATTTTGAAATATGCGTATCAATCAATTCGCAAGACTCACGTTTTGAAACATGAACCAAATCGCATGCGGATTTTACCTTTTTCCCCACCGAAAAATATTCAAAATCTTCAAAAGTTTAAGAATAATAAATGGGAATGTTTAGGTTCCGTTGACGGAACGTTGACGGAACGGTTACGTCAGTGCTTGATATCAGTGCTTGATGTAGTTGATTATCATACAACATAATCTACATATGTATCTAATGGTGACAAATATTGACGGTACCATTCTATGACGGGATCTTAACATTTTCCATAAAAAATATACATCATCAAAATTAACAAAAAGCTGGCAAAATACACCAACTCTTCCCACCTGCCACCACCTAGCTCAATTTATTTTTTTCAAAAAAATAAAAATAAAAATAAATAACAATAAATAAAAATAAAAAAAATTGCATCTATAAAAGCACCAAAACACCACATTAGGATATGAATGAAATTTCTCCTTATTATTAATAAGAAAAAAAACAACACACCCCACTTGCCCCCCCAAAATCTCAATTACAGACAGAGCAAGCAAATCAAATATGGCGAAAAATAGGCTCACAAAGGTTTCATTCTCTTTCATCCTCTTCATCTCCATCGTCACCGCCCAATCAAACACCGTCTCGGCCGAGAAGAACCCCAAACACCAATATGTTGGAACTGAGAAGCAAAGCCATTTAACGGTATACTGGCACGACAAGCTCAGCGGTCACAATCCCACATCGGTATCCATCGTCCGTCCTCCACCCTACCCTAATAATAACGCCTCCTATTTCGGGGCGGTCCAAATGATCGACAACAAACTGACCCTCGACGGCGACCCCAAATCCAAAAGCATCGGTCAGGCCCAAGGGTTTTACGCACTGGCCTCACTCGATCCGACCGACTTCGCCCTGTTGATGGTGATGAACTTTTACTTCACCGAGGGGAAGTACAAGGGCAGCACGCTGGAGATAATCGGGAGGAACGCCGCTCTGAATAAAGTGAGGGAGTTGTCTGTGGTCGGAGGGACCGGTCTTTTCCGGTTCGCCAGAGGCTACGCTCTCCTCTCTACCAGGAAGTTCGATAACAAAACCGGGGACGCTATAGTTAAGTACGATCTGTATGTGATGCATTATTGACATCACTGATCTTTCACATGTTATTGTTACCATAATGTTCAACCATTTTTTCCTAATTTTATGTCAATTAAGCAACAATTAATTGTGGGGGTTAGGTTTACATCCCATAATTATTGTCGATTGGTGATGGGAGGGTCCATTAATAATCGCTTCTGGTTTGTCTCTAGAGAAACAGGTCTAG